AGAACACACTGAGTGTACTTTAGAGAGAGGGAAGAACGTCGCGATCTCCTGATGCGCCTGTATTCGTTTCTACCTGATTTCTCGAAGTGGGGAAGAAAGAGGGGATTAATGTGCTTGTCCGAACGAGAACCAAAATACAATCTATTTTTAACGAAAAGGAGGATCCGAACGAGAACCGAGAAGATTGCCGTAACGGCGAGCTTTCTGCAAAATCTCCAGCTTGGAAGTGCTCGAATTTGTTCGAACACTCCGACGATTCCGAGTGCTAGTGCGAACGGTCGTGAGGCAATGGATAAAAACGAGGAGGCGCAGGAAGCCAGCTGACGCGGTTAAACCAATCAATATAGCAGCTTGATCGTGATAAAGTAGATTTTCGGCCGATGGAAGGGGAGTTACAATTGAATTGTCCTTAGACTCTCTCGCGGGGCGAGAGTCTCACGTGATCACCGTAGACTACACTATCCAGAATATCGACAGGTGCATCGACCTGCTCGGAGCGCGCGTACAGCCGTAGTCACGGCATGTGCGAAAGACGACGCGTAATTGAGACTGTTTTGACGACGGTAATTTAGCGGCTGTGCTCGGGACAAATTATATCAGAATGGACAGTTTCCGCTGTTACGTGCTAATAAGCACTTTTGGATCTTTTCGCCTCTGTCTTTCTCGTTCTCATTTTCTCGTGCGACTCTGACGTTTACAGCCCAATCGTTGAGCCGCGAAACGCACCGCGTATAACACGTGTAATAAGTGTAATACACAGCGAGTGAGGAGAAAAAAACGCTGTTGCCACATTCTCATCCATTTGGAGATGAATTTACACAGAGGGGAATTATACATGCATACATGTCGCGTTCGCGCGACCGCCATGGAACGCTATAAAGACACACACCGTAAGTTAATTACGTCTATTCTGGGTCATGACGCTTCCACTTAGAGTCGAGGACGTGTCTCGAATATTTACATTTTGACGACGCACGCGGAGATGGTGGGTTAGGTTCAGCTTAGAAACGAGAAATCATCTAGAGAGTCGCTGCTACTTGACACTTGCTAACGGGAACCAGGGTACATCCCCCCTACCCCCCTTTTTCGCGACATTAACACGACGAATATATGAAAAATATAATAACAACTCTCGAGACTGACAAAATAGAGAGAGGGAGAGAGAAAGAAGAAAAAAGAGAGTGAGAGAGAGTTCTTCAAAATCATAAACAATCTAGAAAAACTCGACAGTTTTAAATGTCTCTTGAATGTGTCTACACGAATATATGTGGATTCCCGAGTCGAAATTTTGCTTCCACAATTCTGCAAATTTCACCGGACTTAATGATCCGACTTTATCCGTGCACGGCGTAAAAACAATGCAGTAAAAATTGCATTAGAATTATATTTACAATGTTTTTTTATAAATTTTTCTCTCTCTGTAGACTATACTAAGATATTTTAGTATAAATTATTACAGAAATTGTAAATTTTACGATATATCTACTGAATATACAATATAAACATTCAATTATTATAGTTTAGTAGTGTAAACAGTCAAACGTGCATAACATTTTCAAACAGCTATACAGTAATTTCAGTCAATTTCTGTATACTTCAAGATTATAAATATTCTTATAATTTTTACTATATTTTCTCCGTATATGCGTTATTAACACAATGGGTGAGAACGTGAAAAATATAATACCAACTCGAAATTGAAAGAGAGAAGAAAGAGTTCTCTAAAGAGACTTGAAAAATCTCGAAAGATTCAATAATCTTGAATGTCTTGAATGTCTACACAAATATACATGAATTCCCGAGTCAAAATGTGACTTTTACATCAATCCTTCCAAATTCCGCGGACCTTGGAGGAACAATGGAGAATCTTGAGACTCATTGCGCAATTATTTGTCAAAAAATGACGGATCATGAGTGCCGACGCGAAATTTCGACTCGACCATCTCCTTATTCCCGGTGGATTTGTCGAACGTCTGTTAAACGTCACGCATAACGAATGATTTCGCGTGGCTGGAAATACATGGTATATCGTTACCCGGCGCCCTGCGTTCTGCGTCTTGACTTTCCAATCCGATATTTCGCCCTGACTGGTTCCGGACACTCACACATATAAACGCGATGCGATCGAAAAAAACGCGTGCCAACCAACGCGAAAATCCTAAAGATCAGTGGTAGAACTATGTAAAAAATAAACGAAAAAATGAAAAAAATTTCCTGTCTATACAATCACGTGTAACGGTTCGTCGAGTTGTCAGTGATTGTACAGGAAACTTCTTTCTATTTCTTTGCTATTATTTTAACGTAATCCCACCACAGATCTCTCGATAGTCCACGAAATATTTTGATCGCTCGACAGAATTTGTACATCGCGAAACACGTCGTTTCGCGTACACTAGGATTCATAAATACCTTTACACTTCCGGTATCTAGAGAATTGGACTTTTTCGATCTGACGCATCGTTTTTCAGCGTGAATCGTGACTGTTAGTTGTCAGTTCTTTCAGTAACTAACAATCACAATTCACGCTTACTAAGAAACAATGCGTCAAATCGAAAAAGTCCAATTCTCTAGATACCGGAAGTGTAAAGGCACTTATGAATCCTAGGCCGATATTCATAACCGAATTTTATATTTGAGACTGTCTTAAGTTCATCTTTAGATGGTCTACAGATGATTTCATTGACTATATAGCATCTGAAGATAAACTTAAGATGGTCTTAAATATAAAATCCGAGTATAAATACTGGTCCTAATGTACGTCACACTTCAGCTCGAGATACCACGACATCGTTCGCGGAAAAACGCAAGAAAGTGACATAAGTACCGAAAAACAATGAGCAAAGAGAACACGTCATCGCTAAAAGGCCGAGCGCTCCCAACAATCAACACTGTAAAAAAAACATCGCGGGCCTTCAAGACGATCCAATTTACCTTGCAATGTCGCGCAATGTCCCGGGCGTTTTCATTACTTCGGCCGAGTAAGTGCGACACGCATAATATCCGCGGAATATGTGTGTCGGTGCGTTAATTGTCATTCCCGTCGATTGATCGAGATGTTTCGTCAACTCTCTAGAGGAAACTAGGACAACTTTAGCGACGCATAAGAACGGTTTCTGAAAGTATTTTACGTGTTGAAGACGATAATGAAAACTAAAAATCGTCATGTCTGTTTTCTGAAATCTTTGGAAAAGAAATATAATGTGTATTCCTCGTTTCTTTTTTGTTGCTTTCAATCGTTGCTGACTGGTGTGTTATCTTTTTGATATTTACTATTTATGTCCTAAGATACATATAGAGAAAAATAAAAATATTCTCGACTTCAATCTAAATAAATTGAAGTCAAAATATGCTTATGATAGATTTGCCGGTCTTTTCAGCATTCATTATTTTTAGTATATATAGTAGACTCATTAATATTTAGTATTTAATAGTATTTACTCATTAATTTAGTAAGGTGAAGATTTAGATTAAGATAAATTAGGGAGGGGAACAGAAACCCATCCCGTCAACACATGTGTCGTTTCTACACATCAGCGAATTATATCTTCGCGCATACGCGTTATCTACAAAATTTTTAAACTTTTTCTATTATTAACTTTTTGTTAAATAATGAGAGCGACTAAAACTTTTTGTTTTGTAAGTGATGAGTCGAGACGATGCGCTTCCATCATTTGAAGTGACTCAGTGTGCGTCTTAAGAACCCATCGTTAACCACCGTTCGGAGGACTTCGTAGGCGTAGCGGGCTCGTTAATCAGTTGTTCCTGTGAGCGCTTGCGACTTCTCGCCGAGACGTGTCACCGTTTGCGCGGAACGCCATGTCCCCGGCAACGTAAGACCGCCGATGACAGGAACGACGATGGCGAAAGGAGAAAATGCGATTCTCTCTTCCTCTCTTCCTCTCCTTCTCTCTCTCTCTCTCTCTCTCTCTCTCTCTCTCTCTCTCTCTCTCTCTCTGCATAGTCCTAGATAATGATTACCGATGGACGACGGTTGCGTGTATAGGGTGCATATTCCGCGTTATACACGAGTATTGTTCTTTGAGCGACACTCCGACAGCTGTGACGGCGGTCGCGGCTGCGATAGCCGCGATCGCTTCTGGGTCGAGTGCATTCGCTGTCATGGACTACAGGTAGTAACAGCAACAAGTGGTACGAGGCATTAATTGCGTATAAGCCATCGCTCGAGGAGGAGTCGCTGTGATTGCGCGGAAGTATCAATTTCAGGGGGCTTCGTTCGTGAGACACACCGTGCTCGCGCCTGCTCCATTCGTGTTGCCAACTCGCGACCTCAGCGTTCGGGGTTCAGAGGAAGAGCGAGCGAGAAAGAGAGGGAGGCAGAGGGAGGCCGAGAGAAGTGCGTAGAGAGGGAACGAGAGAAAAGAAGAGAGAGGGGCAAGAGAGAGAGAGAAAGAGAGAGAGGCAGAGAGGAACCATCTGAAGCAAAATCTCGAAATGTCGCGATCTCGTTGTTGCTTTTCGGATACTTGCTATGGCGATCGGGCGATATCGGAGTTGAGCTTCCGCAGCAATATTCTGAAATCTCCGATGGAAAATCCTCGATGATAATCCGTCATAGGACGCGATTATCATGTCCGGAAAAGAGCGAGCGAATGCGCGTACGCGTATCTCGAGTGGATAAGACGCAAGTGTCGAGGATGAAGACGAGACTGAATGTAGGGTTTCATCGGGGATTTCATTTTCCGTCCGTCGCCTGCTCAACAAGCTGTGCCGGGACGCTACGTCGTCGTCTCGCGTCGCTAACGTAAATAACTATCTCGCGTATCTCAGGATCATCGCAGTTATCGGGGCGGGAGCCTGGAGTCCATCCCTTCATCGTGAGAAAGCTCGAGCCATTGTCCTCCCCCTTTTCCTCTCTTTCTCACCATCACACACATTTGCACATACGCACTCTTTCTCCTTCGCATCACACATATACACGCTTTCTCTTTCTCTCTCTTTCTCTCTCTCTCCCACTCCCATACTCTCATCTTCCAACTTACGTTTACGATGTGTTCCTGGGATGCTCCTCGCTCCGGCAGCTGGCTGAGGGCAAGGTCGTCCGCGCTGCACAAAACACACGTAGCCGAGCGGGCACACAATTTAGCACTGAAGTGTGAGAAGTAACGCGCTTCTACCGCTACGATGATGACGACGACGCGCCTCGTAAAAGATTCACGATCGCGGTTGGACTGCCGCGTCGCGGGAGAGCACAGTGTCCCACTGAGTGACCGGACGAATAAAAGTAACTCGCTCGACGCCGTTTGCCGCGCGTCTGCTAGTGCCGCGAGCAATCGCAGTTCGCGGCTCAATCGAGTAGGGCGGCAGGTTCGGATCGCAGCGCAGTGCAACTCGACGCAGCAAGCCCGCCGTGCAATGCAGCGACGCGTGCACCGCCCGGCCGCTGGCCAATCAGCGCGCTCGTCGGCACGCACGATGGTGCAGCGCGTCTTACCGATTTCGTGCGTTCGTGCTTGTAATGTCGGCTCTGTCCTTTTCTTCGTTCCCTTCCACTCTCTTTCAATTCGTCTTTTCTCTCTCTTCTCTTTAACGCATGTATCTTAGTTTAAATCGATATATAAATATTTGTGTTATACAAATATAATTGTTGAACGACTGTGATCGAATTTCCGTTGATCGTAACGGTAAATCAAATAGAAATTTTGTAGGAAGTATTGTTAAAGATATCAAAATGGGTGCATCCAGAAGCACACTGAGCTCTTGGATCTGACTGGTGTATATTTTTAGATCTAAAGAAATATTCCAATCAGATACAGGAGTTCACTGAGCGATTGTTTCTGGATGCATCCAGTTTGTAGCAGTGAAAATTCAGATAAACTATGACAGTTAAATATTAAACAAGTTATTTCTCAATCATATAGCTGTTTTTCATAAAATTTAATAGAAATTCTCGAGACAAGAAATATACATGTAGAAACAATATATTTTCGATTAAATCTTTCAAACCAAATCAAATGTAACCATATGAATGTTCATGTTTAAAAAAATAAATTTCATTATGCAAATGTTATTCATGTACATACAGTTAATATACAGATTACTTTAAGTATCTGGTATGTTTACTTTAAATAGCATAACAAATTAATTTGAGAATTTAAAAGCACAAAATACACAAAAATATACGCATGTATGTTATACTCTATATAACTTATAAATACAATTTACATTTTATAAATATACATTATAAAATATATATTATAAAATGTAATATCGTATCACATTAATGTTGTAATAATCACATTTGTGTTCAACATTGAAATCCTTTAATTGGAACTAAAAATCCTTTAAACAGGATCTGCAATGAAGATTTAAGCTTTAAGAAATTGACCAAACACAGTTGAATATTCTTGTAAAAGTCGATTGTGGTTAGTCAATTTTTTAAAGCTTGAAACTTAAATCTTCATTGTAGACCCCGCTATACAGAAATAGAATTATATAGACTTTACCCTTAATTTTCCTTACATATGGATATTTCTATTCCTTATACAATTTTCAATTAAACTATCGAGGACAACAGAGCTTAGTTATTATGCTCAATGTATTAACATTTTAAAGGAAGTTCCAAAACAATTCATTATTATCATCATATTAATCAATTAGAATTTAATGTTCTATGATGCAATTTGGTTTTCTTTCGCGCGTTCACCAAAGTTTCAGAGTCGCACAAATGATGTTTTGCTGATGATTTGCCAAGTGAAAACGACGACGTGCCCTTACAGGACTCCTTCCGAAGTTGTATGTCCTTCAAGTCATATATGAAATCCTTTCTCAACGGCTTTATTCGTTTACGCATCGGACGTTGAGACTTCGAACCGTCTGTTATCGAGCAATACGTTAGCCCAGTGTCGTCGATAGGCGCGGTGCTATTTTCATTGTCGTTCGAGTACGTATCTCTCTCCGCCTCATTACTGATGTCTGACGACTTCTCCGAATCCGTCTGTTTGGTCGCGCTGTCTGTGTCAGTCGGGCCCAATATCACCTCCATCACCATCCGCTTGAGATCAGAATGAACGTTCAATTTTCCCAGAGCACGGTTCTCCATGTACTCTTCCAGATTTGTACAGAGCGTCGCGGTCCCATCGGTTTTCTTTTCGGTAGGAACATTCGTCGTACTACCTGTCGTAGTAATTTCCTCATTTTTTCCAGCAACACGCGTACTCGTCGTATCGCTCAAAAAGCTAAGATCTTCGCGCATTTCCGACTGAGAGAACGATGCAGTTTTATCAACGGGGTAGTCTGTTTTCTTCTTCACCTCCGTCATGCCCGTAACAATGTTCTCCTTACATCTATATTCCTCCGTAGGAACCTTCATCGTACCCGTTATAGCAGCTTCCTCATTTTTTCCAGTAACACACGTATTCGTATCGTTCAAACCGCTAAGATCTTCCCGTATTTCTGACTGAGAGTACGACATAGTCTTATCCGCGTCATCAGGATCATCTATCTTCTTTATATCTGTGATCATGGCAACAATATTCTCCTTACGTTTACACTCACTCTGTGGTATTTCGATCACCATCTCCGCCATAAATGCATGACTATTCTGTGTGTTATGCATCTTATTGCAATGTACAACGCAATCACACTTGAAGAAGCACTTGAAGTCGCATAATTTGCAGCGATAGCGATACCACCCAATATGAATTGCCATATGCCTACGTAGACTTGTCATGGACGTAAACTTTCGTTGACATAAAAGACACTGCATTTTCTGCAAATTCGAGATCGCAGCCATCTTACTCTCCATTGATAAATTCTGCTCCATTTTACTCGGCCGTACCGCTGTAAAATCGCTTCGTTCCACTCTCATGAGTGTTTTCCCTGGAATCACATAAATTATTATATTAAAAACTAATTGGCTTAAATGCGCAATACGATATACCTCAAATTGTAGCGTCTTGGCATTCTTTTACCGTGCACAATAGCTTATTAAGATAATCAATTAATTACTGCAAATAACTTAATAAATTAGAATCAAATGTAGGATATTAGTTGCTAAATTTATCTATGTTTTACAGTGTAAATAAACGCATCAAGAGTGTCTAGTTCTAACGTTCTAACGTACTATGATATACTTTTTTCGTCAAGTCTAAAAACTTTTCTAATGATCATTCCCCATTTCCCATCCTAAATGGAACTCTATTTATAAATTTTTGTATTGCGAAAAATACTGCCTTGGGCTGGAGTTAAATCTGGACCTCCCTACTTGCCCGAGCGGGGCCTAATTATTACGATAATGATACGATGATTCAAACAATACTTTTCAAAGTAATCTTCCGTTTTTTCTTCCTGCAACTTAGGGTGCTGCCTTTTCTACGTATGACCTCTAAACCCACGGCCTTGGTTTTGCTCGTATCTCCGTGTACAATATTGGAAGACTGTGGATTTTCGATGGGCTCAAGAATCGGTGGCTCGCTATCGTCGAAATTTTCATGGATTGTCGATGGCGCAATTCTCGCACGAACGTTATTATGATCTGGTGAATTGCGTTTGGACGAATGATTATCGTAGTGTTCTAACGTATCCCAATCTTCTGTACTAAGAGAAACAGGTTGCATACGAGTGGCTGCTTTGCGATACTCGCCGATTATCTCAGGAGATGACGATGACATGCGTTCAAAGTTAGCTTTCGATTCATCGGTGTCATTCAACTCACATAATGTATCGTTGTTAAGTACTGAGTTTGATAAAGTGCTGCTATTAGGCTGATTGATTTTAGTTGTAACTTGGTCGCATGCAGCGATTAATGTTTGACAATGCTGCGAATGAGCAGACAAAGCTGTCTTTGTATCAAACTTCTTCCCACATTTGTTGCAACCTGAATCTTCGACATCATTTTTCGAATAAAATGTTTTCTGTTACAAAGAAATACAAAGATCATGTAAAATGTATTATGATGTAAAAAAAACTATCAAAATGTAGTTAACTTAATTTTACCTGTGCCTTATCGTCATTTTCGAGATCGTTAGTATGCTTTATTTTTCCAGCAGCAGATGTCCCGGTTGCACGACTTTTCTTTGAATCTTGTGTCGTGATTGCTTCCATACTAAATGGTACCTCTTGAATTTTCAATCTTAACTTACGCACTTGCTCGTGATTTTTCTTATGAACTGTATTTAGAAAATCATAATGACGAATTATTCAAAATAAGAAATTTCTAAGAGAAAGCTTATTTGTGAATAACGCTGAATTATTGTGAGAAAACGGCACACGATATGTATGTCGAAACGTACCTTTGAACAAATGTCGATGAACACTCCAAGTGTTTGCAAACGTACTTGCACAGCAAGGGCAGGTGTAACATGTGCGCTGGGATGTGTGCAGTGTTTTAACATGAAAAGTTAATGTTTTCTTCGTTGAAAAATTTGCATTACCTGCAAATCAAAACATAGATATCTCAGACATATCTTTGTAATTACATCAAACAATGCACAGAGAAACGTATAGATTATAAAACTATGTCCAATAACCGACCTAGCATTTGTTACCAAGTAATAAATTGTTTCAAGCTGAGATATTGATAAAGCATAATAATATTCAAACTATCAAATTTATCTAAATTAACTTTAGGGCATTAACAGTCTTATCAGTTTTTATCATCCTCTTCTCTATTGTAAATAAAATAATATTTAATATTAAGGAAATAAAAAATAAATGTAATTTACATATAGCGCAGATCAAGCTATTCGATAGCGTCCTATCTAATGGCAATTTATCCCCTTCGTTACTCGGATTAGCTTGAATAGGACTATCATTCTTTTCTAATTGATTTTTATTCTTAATGTAGTTCTTATGTTCTAATGTAGTATTATTCTGCTTCATTATATTTTGAAGTTTCATTATCTGGAAGTCAAAAACACAATATTAAAATCGTCGTAATTATATTACATTATTTCATATATATATAATATACTTCTAATTAATGACATTTATAATAATAAAAAAGAAAAAATTAAATATATTATATTAAATATAATATATATTAAATATAATATATATTAAATATAATATATTAATTATATATAATTATATAATATATTAATTATATATAATTCACTATAATTGTAATTCTTGCCTCTTTAGCTGCTAAGTCAGTATCCACATTGGCTACTGTATCTGGTGATTTGATAGTTTGATATACTGCACAACTATTTGTTGCTATACTTTTCAAATAAATATGTTGATTTCTTGAAGCATCAGTGGTCACATTTTCAATTTTTATTTTATTAGAAGAGTTATTTCTCATATCTTCTTGCTTTTTAATAAGCGCACTTATTACTCCTGTGAGATCTCTTTTACATGTTTCTTTAGAGACTTGGCTCCTAAGTATTCTATCGTTTGTAAGATTAGATTTCATTATTGTTTGTTCTGTTTGACATGTATCAATTGCTGATTCAATAGTAGAAATCTGAAAAGAATATTTTTATAATTAAGAGATAAATTATAATAATAATAGTAATAACAAATTATAGTTATAATAACAATAACAATATTAGCAATCATATTCTATTTACCATGTTGAGATCATTCCATGTGTTTTTATGAAGTGTAATATTAAACTTTTCTTTACAGTATTCTCTTTTATGAGATATCAAATTCACAATGCTTCTAAATAAGCTGCGGCAAATACGACATTCATAGATAATGTCACATTCATAAGTTAATATAGATTTAATTTCCTCTGTACTATCTTCAAGCAGCTTACTAATATGATATAAAGTAGATATACTTGTATCAATTGGTTTACGCAAGTTGGATAAATCAGGATTGATTGTACTATTTGTATCCCTTCTATGAAGCTTTACTTTCCCAAATTTGCCATTTTTCTCTTTGCTTTTGGTCCCTGCCTGCATAGCTTTCATTTTTTCTAAAGCCATGGTGTACTTCAACCAGTACATAGAGTTCTCAAAGCCTCTAAGAGATCCTTATGATTGTAATTTGAAATCTTCTTTATAATGCATCTCTGTTATATTTGATTAAAAATTATTGTTAAGAAATCATCAATATATGTAATTAGAGTCGGTTGCTAAAATATATCTAATTATTTCTAATAATATCTAATGTTAATTGTGTAGCATATATTAAATATTTTTAATTGTATGTATATACAAAAATATATTTATATCAGTTGAAAAAGATATTTCTGCTGAGAAGAAAGAAAGGATTCTTAGTGTGACTTCAATGATATTTATCAAATGTAACAAATCTGAATTAGATAATTTATAGAGAAAGAATACATAGTCATAAAAATCTCCTACCTAGATCAATCCATAAACTGTTACACCTGTATGAAAACAATTATTAACGATACGGTATATACACATTTTATCCATGAAAAGCGTGTGCCGATATCTATCTTCTGAAAAAATTCACAAAAATCGAATATCTATCTTGATTATTACATTCTAAGATTGCGATTAATAAGCACGTCTCTCCTTCATTTTAAATTATCAAAATCAATGTTCATCTTTCGAGTATTGATCGATTTTGTAAGAGTGTAAATAGATTTAACGGGTTTGAGCGACAATGTGCGACTCCGTGTGCAAATAACGTAGAAATCTTACTTAAATGTGGTTACACACGTACTATGAATCCTATCGTTTGATGACCTCCATTTTCTATGCAGTTTCTTCGACTTACCGTTTGGCAAAAGTTTGGTGGGCAGCACTTTAGTCGTGTCTGTTCACTAATACTTTTGCTTCTACTTTATATTATGGACTTTCATACGGCGAAAATAAGTAGGATATTTATATAAAAATGTTCATCATGCAATACACTCAGATAGTTACTTCGTTAAAGGTATTTATTTATTGATTCACCTATAATATAACCTCAATAATGATGTACTTGAGTGTATCTTTTTTTACAATTATGATGATTTTCAACATAAGATTATTTAGAAATTATATCTTATAGTTTTACATAACCTACTGATCATACATATTTCAGAATACAATGTTATCATTAATGCAAAGGACATTTCAAACTCATGGAATGGTCAGCACCGCTAGGCTACTATCAACATCTTCTACGATGCAGCTATTGAATCCTAAAAGTACTCACATGACATTTGTACACTGTAATAACTCATCTACAACGACTGTACCTGCTGTACAGAATACACAGCTAGGATATATGCAGAGATTGTTAAAAAAGATTGGTTTTAAATTCGATCTACAAAAATATGTAATTAGAAGTTCATATATTAAGTTCATGCATATAATTAATATTTAAACAAACAGACACATATACTTTTATATTTATATTTATAGTTAATTTAGTTTAAGTGCATATGATATATAATGCATTTATTAACAGTAATGCAAAGTTCAAAATTTATTCTCAATATGATAATATTAAAATATTAATTGCAGAGGTACATGGCACTTGCTTGTTTGGTGTATGAACATATGTTGAGTCAAGTAGATTATAATTTCTTCTATAAACGTAAGTTTTTTTATCTATTCCTAAAATGTATTCCTAAGATATTTTTTCTTATATTTTATATTACATTACATATTGAATTAATCAAATATATGACAAAATTTTAAATATTTACATATTTATAATTTTAAAATAATAAAATCAATCAATGCTTTATATAATTTTTATATATTAAAATAGAGCTGTAATATAATTCTTATTTTCCAGTATATATTTCTTTTCACAGACTTTAATATGCCAGACACATTGTTTTCATGGTTTTTGGTGACAGAACTTCATGTATGGATGTTAATGGTTCGTTATATGGCAGAAGGAAAAGATGGACAATTCATTAGAAATAATATAGTCACAGCAATGTGGGATGACACAAAAGCCAGAACAGAAAAGCTTGGTGTAATATTATATTATTTTTAATAGGATGTTAAAGCTTTAATAGAATCAAATAATTTTAATGAATTAAATAATATTTTAATTCAATATCTACTATAATTTTAATATTTTAAGTTTGATGTATCAAATATTTATGTATATATGAAATACTTTTATCATAATTTTCCAATATTTACTGTTTGCTAAATACAGTTATTATTTATTACAGGCAATAATGCCCAGTATTAAACGCAAACAAATTGAAGAATTGTCACATCAATTTAATGCTTCTATAATAGGTTATGATGAAGGTATACTGTCCGATGACAAAGTATTAGCAGGAGCACTATGGAGAAGGTTCTTTTACCTTGAATGCAATAATCCAGAGCATGTCGAGTTACTTCTCGCTTACGTTAGGATACAAGTAAGTTTCATATTTTAATGATATTAAACATATTGATGTTAATTAATGTGACTTGCTACAGTCCTTAAAAACTATACTTAATGATTTTTTTAGATCTCTCTTTTCGACAATATACCGAGTCAAGCGATTTTAAAGAAACCCAATTTCAAATTGGTAGATATAAAAAGTTTATGCAAACTTCAATAAATATTATAGTGGATAGAACTGTTAGAGGTATTTTGGAATACATACTTATTTATGAAGACATAATGGTTCTATGTAAAAAATTATTGTACAATATATAGTAATAAACATAGAATATATTATTACTTTTTCATAGTATTATTTTCATAATTTTTCTACAAATACTTTTATATATTTAGATGTTATATTATTTATATTATAATTTCTTTTTGTCAAGCAATTTTACTTACACTATGAGTTTTACACATACTTTAATCTTTATATAAATTATTACATTACACTAATTTCCATACTAATCTTAATATCTAATCACAAGATGTTCCATTTCCTAGACTTGCAATTATACGGCACATTTTAGTCCTCATGCATTTTGTATCACACTCCTTCCTCAGCGATGGTTCAGCAAGTTTGAAAAAATGCCTGAATTATGAATTATGTTTAATCGGTAAGACAATACATTTAGCAAACAATATCTTATTAATTTTTGTACGTTACCCGTAATAGTGCTTTAACAGATCATCATCATGTGACAGTCTAATGTACCAATCATTCAACGAGTTGTAAGACAAGTCGAGAAGACCGTACTCTTCTTTAAATGAATATGATTTATACCACTGTGGTCGTTCATTAACATTATCATTCGCTAACGTTACATTATATATCCAGTTCTCATAGTCTTTTACTACCTATAAAAGTTAACAAATTATTATATATTAACAGTTATTATATATTAACAGAGTGCGTATACACGTGGCATTTATAAATTTAAATTGTATTACATATTTTAACAAAATGACACTCACGTAATTTTCACTGTCGACATTATATATTTTATAGTTGGGATTCAATTCAGTGAAAGTGGTTACGCTTCCTCCATTCCAAGCAACATTAATGATTTTCTTGTTCTCGTCGCTACTGTAAATCAACTCCAATTCATCATTATGCGTATGACCATTAAATTGCGCCTTAATGATGTGACCGAATCTATTCATAATTTTATGAAATTCTCTTTTCCATGTAGCTTGACAATCCTGATCAGTAGGAGGAACATGCGCTAATATATGTACGACTTCGTTATCCTTTTCAGCCTGCAGAAGCGTATCTGCTAACCACTGCAACTGGTTAGCAGCATCTCTTGGTTGATACCATATCCACCTAAAAATTGCTTTATGCTACTTAAAATTGTTTAAGATAATAAGTCTGTAACGTTTAAGATGAAACACAAATACAAACTTCTAAAAAAAAAGGAGAAAGAGGTAACAATGAAAGCGAAAAAGAATATACAGACATAAGTAAAAAGGATTAATACTGTTATCACAACTTAGCAGCTGTCTGATGCCACTTACCAGTTATAGCAATAACATAGGTTATTGTTTAAACCTATAATTCTGAACCCTTTTTTAGGTGAAACCGTATAGTATCCACCCTGCAGAATAGTAGAACGAGTAGACTCTGGTAGCCATCCCAAACCAATCCATAAGTCAGCAATCATATTGTACAGCCATAGTGTGCTTACTTTATCATCAGTGACAGTTATAGGAGCATATCTAAATTTCACAAATTAATTATTCGCAAGACTAAGTAGATATTGATTAATATATTTGTACATAGATGATTAAATCTTAGATAATATTGAAGGAAAGAAGTTTCCTCACTGATTTGGTTGGAACTTCATAATATTGTGTATTTTGGTACGTAAAATATGAATATCAATTTTTGTATTGTAATAAAAAAATGGAAAAACAAATTTTTTTTATTACAAGAGTTGATATTTTTAAATATTCTTACACTACATTTGAAATTACGCGTGCTTACGTCACTGCGCATGCTCATATGCTTGACACTCTCAACGTGACAGATTTCCTAACCTCAAAATTGTCGTTTTTTTAGCACTATAACTTTTGTCTTACTTAAGAGTGACGATTCTAGTGGAGCGACTTCACGCTCCATTTCGCATTTCGTGAACAATACGTTCCGTACAGATATAAAGCACAGCTAAAAATAGAAGTACAGAGGCGTCTGCAGCAAGCAAACAAACCATTCAGGCAATACGCCACAACAATATACAACGCCACGGATTGTTGCTGGCGTTGCAAACAAAGGGAGCATACCAGGAAATCTTGTCGACAACCTCCGAAAAAGTTCTGCTCTCAATGTGGGAAAGACAGAGTCTTTACAAAAGACTGCCATCCACGTCCGGGAAACGCCGCACGGAGCGAGGAGCAATAGGGCGAACCTCGGTCCCAAAAACACCGCGAATAATATATACACCGCGCCCTCATGTAAGGATTAAGATATACAGGACACCGATTACCGCATTACTTACTTCCGGATCCGAAATCTCCTGTATAAATCAGGAAACCGCGAGGTTAGCGGAGAAGGGGCAATATCCGATACATAAAAGAAACAAGACAATACGCCTGGCGAACGGAGCAAGCATAAGGACTCAAGAGAAGGTAGACCTACCAGTTACCATAAACAAGAAACAAAATTGGCACACCTTCGACATCGTACCAAACCTCGAAAGCCCGATGTTGATTGGAATGGATTTGTGGGCGAAGTTGCGAATAACGTTAGTGCTACCGACATACAGATATCGAAGAGTTCAGAGAAGAACATCTATAATATCCGAAGGTATGCAACCGCGCACAGCCAAAGAAACTCAGAAAGATTAGAACGATTCCTGCAGAACGAATTCCAGAAATTCGAAAAAATTCAGGGCATGACAAAAATACTACAACATAAGATCCGTGTGAAACCGAACAGATAAAGAATAAAAAGAAAACAGACTCATAAAAGAAAAAATAAAGTAGTGGATCTATGCACTAACGAAAGATCAAATAATTCAAAAGATGGCAGAGCTAGGACTGTCCACAGAAGGCACCCTAGACGAGTTGAGAAAGAAATTGAGCAAATACGTGACCGATAATCCGCAATTATTCGCGAATAGATCAGAAGACGAGGGAACAAGTCGAGAAACGGAAATGGTATACAGAAACGACCCCACTGCAATTGCGAAAACGATAAATCAAATACGCAAATGGGGATGTCAATTCGATGGGAAAGATCCGGTATCTTTTCTGGAGCGAATCGAAGAGCTATAGAATAGTTACGAATATACAGACGAACAAATGTTACAGGGCTTACCTGAACTATTACGCGGAAGTACCTTACACTGGTACAGAAATAACAAAAAATTGTGGAAAAATTAGAGCGTTACAAATCTAACTTTCATATTCGTGTTTTATATATCAAAATACACAATATTGTAAAGTTTCAGCTAAATCAATGAGGAAGCCTCTTTCTCTTAAATATTATCTAACTTACTGATTCAGAGGTTGCGACTCGTGATTGCCCAGAACAGGATACACAGGTATATCCTCGAATACTTCATGAAAGAAATGGAAACTTTCGTTGATAATTTGTATATTTCCCTCTAAAGTCGTTTCCCAAACACCATGATCTACTAGATCGCCGGTGAAATAAACGTAGGAGATATCCTATAAATTGACATTCAAAGAATAGTGACGCATTATATTTTTAACGAATTATAAATGTTTACACTGGCTTTTAAAATAATTTGAATACTTTTATGCAGTTTGGCATGCAGCCAATGACTCTCTATGACCGCCAAAATAACACAGAAAATTCAAAACGAATTCAGTAGGTATGTTATCAATTCTGAGTTCATTTTCAGATGTAAGAAGAATTTTTCAAAGTTTAATTCAGTGAAAATAATTTTTTTGCATCTAAAAATGAACTTAGAATTAGTGACATATGACTGAATTCTTTTTGAATCCTCTGTGCTATCTGGACGGTATTAATAGCCAGCAAGTCGATCATAAATCTTTTCTTCAAGCGTGAATTCGTGAAAAGTTTTACGTGAACTCGTCCAGATAGCACAAAAAATATCAAAGGATATTTCAAAGATCTTTTTAAAATATTTTTTAATATTTTATATTGTCTGGGTGGTTCACGTAAAACTTTTCACGAATTCACGCTTGAAGAAAAGATTGATGATCCCTTTTCAAGTCTTATATTTAAGACAGTTTAAAGTTCATCTTCAAATACTCCATAATCAACGAAATTATCCGTACAGCATTTGAAAATGTGAACTTAAGATATTTAAATGTAAGACCGATCTATAAATATTGATGAATGAAAGAATATAACTTCTGTGTGGATCAATAAAAAACAAATTCTTTCATTGAATCATCGTCTACGTTCCAGAACGTGTTAAGACAAAGTATTCAAATAGTTCTGAAAACAAGTGTATGTCAAAGTACAATAATAAATTGCCTACTTTGTGCGTTTCCTTAATGTGATACAACGCATCGATAACAGCATGCCATGGTGTATCGCAATAGTTGTAATCTCCCCAAAATCCTGCCAATTTGCCACTTGCATTTGTATCGTTTTGTCCCTTACGACAACACGCTGGTTCGCCACACTCCGAATTGCCGTAAGGCTCATACTTAGGGTCGTAATGAAGATCTGTTATTTGCACGATATTTATAGTTTCGTTGTTTTCTTTCTCGGTGGACGTCCCACGGTTATTATCGATATTGATTGTCCAATTGTATTCGTCATCAGTTAATGGACATGACATCGACTCGAACACGACTCCGCAAATTGTCGATGCCGTTAAATTCGATTTTTGGTCTATGATATACAAAATTATAGGCTACAAATAAAAACATAATTCAGATAATATCAGATACACAGTCTGTTGGCAAATATTACACGTTTTATAAATAATAATGCAGTATGGATTAACAGTATTGCTTCGGCATAAGTTCCTAATTATTTTATTCCTAATTATTTTATAATTTTAAGTTTGTACGCGCTGTTAATATTTACCCAGATAGCACAGAGAATTCAAAAAGAATTCTGAAAAAACTAATTCTGAGTTCATTTTCAAATGCAAAGAGAATTCTTCAGAGTTTATAGCGAATTCGGTAGCTTGCAGTAGTGCGCACTGAGTGCGCGCTAAGACTTGTTTACAGTACATTCTTATATTTAAGATCGTGTCTTAAATACATATTTAAAAACATTTTAGCTAATAAAATGATTCGTACGGATGTTGTACGTATTATATTAAAAATATTTGAGAATTTATTTAAGACAATTTTTAAATATAATAATATACTATGAACACTGAACTATGAAGCTTTAGCGCGCACTGAGTGCGCACTAGTGCAAGCAACCGAATTCGCTATTAGTGAAAGGAATTCTTTTTGCATCTGAAAATGAACTCAGAATTGGTGACATACGACTGAATTCTTTTAGAATTCTCTGTGCTATCTGGATATTTATGATATTAACAAACATATGAATTCTCAAGTCTTTACATTATCTTACTTGTGCACTGTTTTTTAAAACAAAACACTTGAACACTTTTTGTTTGGAACACAGCTAATGGCTCTATGAAAGAATATATCTTCTGGGAATAAATTAAAAATAAATTCTCTTATTGGACCATCGGCTACGCTCCACAACGCATTGAAAAGAAAGTGTTCAAACCGTTTTGAAAGCAGGTGTATGTGTGTGTAAGGACATAACTTACCAAATTAAGAGTTATCGCACCAGCACAGACTCGTTCAGATTCAATATTTAATAGAGAACAGAGTTTAATTCCGGTAGATCTAATTTGTTCCTCTGGCAAGCCTTCCCTACGATACCCCATAAGAACTTTCAAGACAGATTGACATATTATACACATAGATTTGCTCCTTTCGCCGGTAAAACTACGCCAATTCTGATGTTGTAAGCTAGTTGGGAGAGCTAATAAATTCAACGAGGACCAAAACGGCTGGGATATCTCTCCCGTTTTTACCCAATGATCGATTTCATGAGAAAAAGACGATATCGCCTCTTCTGCAAAAACATAAAGAATCGTTATCTTTATGTTTTATCGTATTTTATCTTTCACCTTTCGTGCATAAGAGAATTCAATATAAAATACTTAAACACAATATCAACTGAAAAGCATGTAACACCGTATGTGTTGCTGCAAGTCATTATTTCAAAGTCCTATAAATGTATTTCCGACGTTGTGACTTTTGATATAGATGTGTGTTCATCTTACTTTGATGTCGCGCAATTCCGATTGATAAAGATAAATGATAATACAATTATCTCTTTAACGACGAGTATTGCAAAATTAATAAGACTCTTTGTTCATTTTTTAAGCATTAAGTTTTTGTTAATTTCAGTAAAAATATCTTATGTATTAAAATGATACAAATAATATATCATGTAAATATATTTTTACGGGAAACTATAATTTACACCATTTTGCACCATATAGGTTGAAGCATAAGGCCATATTAAGATGCAAACTAGTATAAGACACACCAGACAAATCTGCATAATTACATAATGCAATATATAAAAAAATCAAATCATAAATCAACTAACCATAATCTGCGCAACAAAAGAATGTCCTTTACATAAAACACACGATTAGTCGATTTCCTTGTGCATATACATTATGTGAAAGTTTAGAAATAGAGCTTCACTCTTTAATATATATAATAAATATAATAACTAATATATATAATAAATATGTGCTGACTGGATTGATATAAATTATTGAAGTAAAAATACTAATGAACTATTAAATGAGTATTTTTATCATACCTGTATCAGGAACCCCATCGCTATTTACAAATTTTAGTATACTTGCAACAAATAATAATATCTTATACAGTTGCATATTGTGATAAAGCGTCTTGACCTATTAAAGTATCACAAATCACTGTAGCATCACATACAGTGTAAGCATTAATATCTGTTTACGATAATTCCCCACTTTATTTTATCTCCCCTCTCGAATGCTATTGATATGATTCTACACGATAAAACTTTATTAAGAGTATATTGCTAAAACAAGAGTTATAGAATTAAAAAGAGAGAGTGCTCACAAATTGAATATTTCTTTTTTAGACACATTGCAAATGTTTATAATTATGTATAAATATTTTTAAAAAAGGTAGTTAATTATGTAATAATTATAGTATATAAATATTATTTAAAAGTTTGAAGTATCTAATATTTAATTTGTGATATATACATATATATACACATAATATTCATTTTTTAATATTATTTTAATCCGTTGTGCATACTATATGCACAAACATATGTACACAAACACATGAAAAATGGATTATCATTAATAAAAAAGGTTATAGATTTATATAACAATGTAAACAAATTATCTGTATTATCAAAACTATATTATAAAGAATCACTTTAATTTCCGGAAGTTTATGATTTATCTTAACAAAAAATATATTTTATCTATCTTTATTTTATCTTATATTTATGTATGTAAGCATTTATACACTTTTAATGGCTTAGATTTCAGATCTCGGAGTTTTTTATATATTTTTTCATATTCTGTATAAACTTTTAATTAAATTATTATAAATATATTTAAATAGTTTTATAAAAAAAGAAACAAAACGTATCATATGATAATCATAGCGATTTTTAATTACACGTTCTATCTCACGTTATAATCTTATGTAAATTGTAAAAATGAGAGAAAGAGACTGTTATTCTTGTATAGGTTGAGATTTTATTCTTATCATTTTTATTGATAACGGACTTTTACATAATCAAGATGGATCTATCACTACTAGAAAACAACGTGATAATAATTATCAGATAATTCAACAAACAGCTTAGATAGTAAAAATAATCGTACAACTACTTATAACTCATGCACATAGTTAAAGTACGTCTTAAGAAACATATCTTTCTAAAAAAAAGGCGCCCTACTTCGAAAAATTCATATTTTCGAAAAGATTGTATTATTAAATAATACAAAGATTGTATTATTAAATAATACAATCTTTTCGATTATATTATGAGAAATACAAATTATTTTATAAAATATACATTATTCATAAACTTCGGCCATATCAACATCCTCGATTATAAGATCGTCGAGCATTTCCTCCAGTGTAATTTGCGGAATGCTTGGATCAATTTCGTTAGTGTCAACGGGAATTTGTTTCCTCGTGTCTCTAAATATGTTGATGTTTTGCCTTAATTCCGGATCTTCCTCTAATTCATCGAGGAATTCATTATATTCGCTGTAAAAAATATATACAATTATTGTATTTTGTAAGATTATTTACAACATACTAGATTTATTACAGGATTTTTTATCATTTCTTACTTATTTTCTGTACTCATGCTGACTACTTCGTCGGCAATATGTTTTAATTTCCATACTCTTGCTCTGCGACGGGCGGCTTTATCGTAACCGTAAAACTTTTTCACTAAGATGATATCAGGTATTATATCTCCATTTAATTTGTCGAAGTTAGTATCGTTAATATTGCTATCTTTCAAGGCGTAGCTGCAAGCAGATAAATATAAAAAAATAACTTGATTGTACACACTTCTATGGAATATTTATTGCGTTGTATCAATGTAAAACATTCCAAACTATATTTTGTAATATGCGAAAAATACTGTAAGAGACATTAACATGCGAAAATAAAATAAAGGCTAGTAAAGGCTGATGATAAAGGCTAATCATATAAACATATAATTACTAGTTTTTATAAAATTTAGTTTTTTATATATCATATTACTTGGTTTTCGAATTATAGCTATTCTATATTTTAACAATTTATCTTGTTAAAAAATATCCTGTATATTACAGATATAAATTATACAGATCACTTTGGTGTATACATATAAATATTTCAGGATTTCTAGATAACTTACCCGAGAACCGAATCACCAGGTTTAAGCACGTGTCCTAAATGTGTACGTGCGTGAGTTGGGTTATCGTTTATTCCTAATTCAGATGCTTTCACTAACCATACATCCGCTATAACGTGCTAAAATTTACAATGTTTATCTTGTATATGTGTACATGGCATTAAAATCCTCTCAAGTAATATAAATAGTTATACAATTTGTATGTTTTGCACGGAACTTACTTTATTAGAAATAGTCCCTTGCCCTGGAAAAATCTTTTTGTCTTCGTGTTTTATCTGCTCAATATCCATCACGACGTATTCCGTTAATTGTTTCGGATTACATATACTGTAGAAATTATGTCTCCAGTAGACAGTCGCGCTAACTTCAGCAACTAGATCAGAAGTAATATTTCGCAAATATATTATCGATTAAATTAATTATATCATTAATACTGACACCAAAATATCGTACTTTGCCCTGATGAAACATCCATAAGATGCACAGAATTTGTAATTCTGTGTACCAAACAAATAGGACTGATTCCACCCAACTGCTGAGTTAACTTTCGTGGTAGGCAAACCACACTATCCTTGGAGATTGGTACGATTTCAACACTGTGCGATATAATAAAGATATTAATTAAGATCTTTAGTATATCATCGCAAATATCTGAATGTAAATTTACCTGTATGTAAATTTGTAGTTGTATATATTACTATGAATATCATGCGATATCAACTTTTTTGAATGTTGATAACGGCATGGTATGACTGTTTGTAAAAAGTCAACCATTTTTCTAGCTGTGGCTTCATTTGCATAGAAGAAATCTAAACCCTCTGTCAGTATTGAATGAAAATAGAGTTTGACATTATTCATTTAATCAGCTATCGATTGCCACAAGAAAGTTACTGATAATACTTACCATGAATGGGCTTTATACCAAGTGTTTGTTCATGTGCTTTGTGCTTTAATATAAGTTGTTCTAAGTAGAAGAAAGTTTTTTTGTTTGTTGCTTTTTGCCGAACTTGTACCTGTGGAAATTAAATTTGATATTTGAAATTCGATTTAATATTATAAATTAGATTTGATATTTAATATTTTAATTCTAAATTATAAATTCTCCAAATTTTCTCTGGTATTAGTACAAAAACTTACAGATGCACGCCAGTAATCTTTAGCTTCTGTACGATGACAATCATCGCACATTTGGTGATTCACGATATATTCAACTACAAATATTTGCTGTAAAACTACACCACCAATTGCTTCCCCATGGACAGTCAGCTTTACCTAATTAAACATTAAATAAATAAAATTGAATTATATTGCAAATGATTAAAATAAAATAAACTGTTTTAATAATATATATACAATATTCATTTATGAATATTATTAAATATTATTCATGCATCATATTAGCTGACTAAATATTGATTGAAATACTAGAGCCTGTCAATTGCTTAAATATCATAACTTTTCATACAAGATATGTTACTATGTAGAACTTACTTTTAATCTCTTGGAATGTGGCTCTGTCCATACAAAACTGGCATCTATTAATTTTACACGATTTAATCCCTTTAGCTTCTTTAAACATAATGACATGAGCTCCTTTGATTCCAATGCAGCATGAATCCATTCAGCGGGTGGCTGGAGATATCTATTGTATGAATACAACGTTAAGTAAGCTATTTAATAATTTGTAGCTAGTTTAATAATATGTACCTAGTTTCTAATCATTTTTTTAAAAGAGAACAAACCTTTCACAGCCTTTACAGAAATGTAAAGTCGCTTGTTTTGAAATACCATCTGTAATATCAACATGAGTACGCAAACATCCTACGCACATATTAGCAGGATTTGGTTCAATTGGTGTTCCACATTCGCAACACAAGCTGCAACAAGTCAGAAGTAAATTTTACCTGTTTAAAAATTTATTTTGTCTCCATTACATATACATATGTAAACATGTGCTTACATTATTGCTTTATCCTTTTCCGCATCATGAACTGTAATATACTCCATTTTGCTTATTTTGTTCGAAAAAAATTTTATACACCTGATATAAACCTGGTATAAACTTGGTATCACTCCGTAAAACAAAGTAAAACAAAGAGTAAAACAAAGTGATAACCTTATGGTCTCTCTCTTTTACTCAATATACGCCTTTAGGCATCATATGACCTTTACTCCAACATCAGTTTCTAAACCTCGTGGTAATGTAAAACAGTCCTCTGCCTCTCTTTCTCTCACTCACTCACTTATGCTGCGTCGGAACACACACTGTGTGCATACTACTAGACGATAGTCGTTGGAGTGAGCGAAATACAAGAGTGAGATAAAGGCTGCTTTCCAATTGTTTAATACATCTTGACACACACGTACACAAACCAGTTTATTGGTCACATATTATCTAAAATACTTTATAAGATAATATGTAACCAATAAACTGGTTTTGTGTAACACAGTGTACACAGCTGGAAAACACCCAAAGAGAGAGAGTACTCGAGTGACGTTTCCGAACGCAGCCTTATGGCTCCTGCACACAGGACGCGGTAATGCTTGCCGCGCGGCGAAAGTCCGCGCGACAGCCAATCAATATGTTGTTTTTCCGTAAAAGAAGGTTATTACGGAAAGCAGCATATTGATTAGCTGTCGCGCGAAACTTCCGCAGCACGGCAAGCATTATGGCTCCTGCACACAGGACGCGGTAATGCTTGCCGTGCAGCGGAAGTTTGCGCGACAGCCAATCAATATGCTACTTTCCGTAATAACCTTTTAGCTCTTACGGAAAAACAACATATTGATTGGCTGTCGCGCGGACTTCCACTACGCGGCAAGCATTACCGTGTCCTGTGTGCAGGAGCCATAAAGGTCGTTTTACATTAGTTGCAAGCCGATCGCAAGCAAACGCAATTCTTATTACGACAACCAATCAGAAGCATCAATGGTGCTATTGACGCTTCTGATTGGCTGTCGCAACAAGGGTTGCAATCGACTTGCAACTAATGTAGAACGACCTTTAGATCCCTAAATCTAGACCAATTACATTGACGAATTGTTCAACTGTTATGTAACTGTTGAGTTCGCTGAACGCACCCAAACTGCTTTGCAACTGTGTAAAATTTGTGAATCTGATTGGAATATGCTCTTAATTTTGGTTGAATCCAAGAGCATGTACCAATCAGATTCACCAATTTTACAACAGTTGCAAAGCAGCTTTTTCTGCTGAACGCAACCATTGACTGCAGAGAAAGCTGCTTTACAATTGTTGTAAAATTCGTGAATCTGATTGGTCACATGCTCTTATATTCAACTCAAAGAGCATACTCCAATCAGATTGACGAATTTTACAACAGTTGCAAAGCAGCTTTCGCTGCTGAACGCAGCCATTCTCTAATATTGGGTGCTTTCCATAACACAAGTTGGGTGCTTTTAATAACACAAACATCATTCTATCTTAGTTACTCATTGAATATGGAACAAAGACAGAATGATGCTTGTGTCTACTTATGTTATCAAATGGAAAGCACCCATACTATTGTACTTCTAGTATTAAAGTACACCCGGATAGAGAATCTAAACGCACCCTAGAGTTTCTTCGCTAGGCTGCGTTCCAAAATTCTACTCGACGGGTAGAGTAGCATTTAATTGACCAATAAGAACAAAGATAATTAGGATTTCTTTATCATGATTGATCAATTAAGGTTGCTTTCCAACAAGAGACACAAGTCGACATAAGTATCATTCTATCTTTGGGTGCTTTCCAATTATGTTTTGTGTGTTACACGAAACCAGTTTATTGGTTATATGTTATCTTACAAGATATTTTAGATAATATGTGACCAATAAACTGGTTTTGTGTACGTATGTGTCAAGATGGGTTAAGCAATTGGAAAGCACCCTTTGTTACTTACTAAATGTGGAACAAAGATAGAATGATGTTTGTGTCGACTTGTTGGAAAGCAACCTAAATGTACTCTACCCACCGAGTAGATTTTGGAACGCGGCCCTAGAGTTTCTAGCGACATTTTTGTCCCCAGAAAATCAATTCTCCTATTGGACGTTAGATGTCGGACAAAGTGGAAATCCTCCGTGACGTTTCCGAACATATCTATACTTGGCATATGACGTGAGAGATCAGCGGCAATCAGTGAATAGGAGACATGGGTCGCAAGATGTTCACGTAACTTTTGCTGGACTGATCTCTGAAAACAGCTATCCAGCAGTTTTTACGAAATTCAACAGGTAAGCGATGTATCGCGAATGATTACATATTACTATGTATATATATATCATTATTAAATGAATTCACAATATCTGTAAAGATCGTAATAATGAAAGCGTGAACTGCGAAAGCATTTGAAATTGTGCATTTGAGGTTGTCGCGGTCACTAGGACCCCGAAGATGGGTTCTGGTCAAAGTGCCCGCAAGTTGACCATCACGAATGAAGAAGAAATCGGCGTGATCAAGGTGTCCAACTCGCTCGTACAACGTATCGCTCAGAGAGAGAAACAAAAAGTGCAAGAATCTTCTTCGGACGCAGCGCCGACAGCAACGCCAGGCCAACATTCGACACCACCTCCTTCTGCAACGACAGCTCCGCCCGCACCCTCGAACGTGGCACCTGAGCATCCAGTGTACTATTACCCTGAATTGACAATGTCGGCTCACCAAATATATCAACAGAAGGAACAGGAGCTGAAACAGCAAGAACAGTATTGGCACAAGCGTTTACAAAATGTAGATGATTCTTACCGAAAAATCAATCGCATCCTAGCAGAAGAGTATCAAAAAACCATTGCTGAAACTTCTGCTAAAACTGGTGAGTGTCAATGTTGTTTGATAATATATGAATCTAATGATAAACTTTCTAAATGGTTCATTGATTACATTGATTATGTTAATCTTTATGTTATGTTTTTGTCGGGCAAGGCTTAATATATGCAACAAGTACATCAATATCAGAATGTATTCTTGCCTCAATATTGCTACTTAAAATATATTCAGAGAGATTCAAAGATATATAAAATTAATCCCACACATATAATTCATAGTGCATTGTATAATTATAATGCATTGTGTGATTTAATGACTGTCTAAGTTAACTGAAACTTATATAGATTTTGAGAATATATTAATTGATGTATGTGTTTACTTTGTATATAGAGTATTTTATACATGATTGTCACATGAAGCAAGAAAAAATAATTATTTGCAAAACAATAACATTCTTGCTTTTTAAATCTGTTAAATACTGTTATAGGACAAAATATTGCTGACATCCAGGATACAATGCAACCGTGTCTAGAGAACAGTAATAAAGTTCTAAAGTGTTTCCAAAACCACCCCAAGGAAACTCTCGCATGCTCGAGTTTAGTACAAGAGTTCTCCAATTGTGTCTGGAATGTGCATTACACACACGCAATCCAAACGCGTTCGTAATATACTATTCAGCAAATTCTTCAAGGGACATTTAGTCAATAATAATAAATTATACAGTAAGGTGTAAAAAGAAAGTTGAAAGTGCTTATTTTATTCTCAGCAGAATTACTGACGAGAAGTAGTATAAAATAAAGAAAGGAGAAATATGTAAAAAAATAAATGATTTAAGGAGCATAATTGCAATTTATAATAAAATGATTATCGTTACATTCTCATGATAAATGCTGTCGAATATTAAGTTCCTTATTTTCTATTTCACTTGCGAATACTGAAATTATCTGGAGTTAAGACTCCGAGTTCCTCGACGCGGTCATTTAATTAATGACGTCAAAAGGGAGAAGATATGCATGCTCAAAATTTCTACAAAGTCGAAATAAAAAGATATACAACAAATAACACTTGCAATCGATTAAATACATCTCTAAAATGTTCTGAACACTTTTACTCTATTAATAAATAACCATAAAATTGACGTGACATGCAACCATTTTACGTTTCTTCATTTTGTCATATTAATTTTACAATTAATTTTTCAGAGCAAAAATGTTTAGAACATGTTTAGAACATGTTTAGAACATGTTTAGAACCAAGAGAACCTTTAAAGCTTTTGGCTCCTCGTATTATCAATCTCTTTTTAATAATATCAGAAGCGAGAAAATGAATGCTGAAAATTCTTGCGAAATACATTGAAATAGAAATATATATCCATAAAGTAACACTTGCAATCGATTAAACAAATTTGTAAGATATTCCGTGCACTCCCCTTTTGCTCTAATAATCAATAATTTATTATAAATTAATCTGAATAGAAATAGGCAAAGAAATAAGAAGATGAATTATATGTCACGTTAATTTACGACAAATTATTGATTGTTAGAGCAAAAGGAGAATCCACAGAATATCTTACAAATTTATTTAATTGATTGTATTACTTTATGGATATATTTTTATTTTAACATATTTCGCAAGAATTTTTAGCATGCATTTTCTCGCTTCTGACGTCATTAAAAAGAGATAGACAATGCGAGGGGCCAGGAATAAGAGATTACTACGTTTGCAGAGAAACGTGTATATTGAATTTCTGAATAACTCAATTTCATGGTTCTCAGTACATTTCTATTTATAATTCCAAGTATATACAGCATAGCCCGGGATGCCTGACCCGAGCAAAGGCCTACAGTATAGCACAGCACATTATAGAAAATTCATATATATTGTATAACATATTAAATCTCGCAAAATTCTCGATGAATCTGTACCTCTCGAAAGATAGGCCCAATGTCCATTTTTTAATGTTCCTTGTTTATAGAAATTCTAGAATTTAACGTTTCAAAATAAAAAAATTCCCTGGACTCAACCATAAGTCTCGTTTTTAACCGTTAAAATTAATTATTTGTATATAATTCATATATCATTCACTGATTAAGCTAACATACATCATTTTTATCTCTACAAATTTCAAGACTTCTATATTGAAAACTGGAATGAACATTAGCCTTTTCTTGTCCAAAGTACACGAGCATAAAATGAGAATATTGCAAATGCAGGAATTGGAAGTATACTCGAAATACATTGTTCAGGACATGTGGGAAATTAATAATTCTGTTCGTACTACAAGTATTCTTACCGAATGTGTAGCTTGTAATAATTAATTACGAATTCGAGAATACAATATCTTTACGGCACGAAACAATTGCGAATGATGACACACTTGTTATCAATGATATATGTACCACTTGTCCCTCCGAAATAAGCTATAAAGCAACTATATTAAAAAGAAAATATCCCTTTTCATAAAAAAAATGAAGTTTATTTAATAATACTCTAGAAAGAAAAATAATGATGCAGATTTTACGTTGCATGGAGTGATGTACTGAACTGAAAAGAGTATATACTCCAATATCAGTAATAACAGTACTTATATATGTACAACCCTCTCTCTTTCTCTCTAGTAAAAGGTATAAATATGTTTGAATGACAACTCCCAGAGTATGTATTATTAAAATTATATAACACAAAACTCAAGATAACATAACAAAAATTTTAATTAGGTCTGAATGAAACAATTAGAAGAAAAAAGAAACGAGATAGAAACATTCAATCGCTCTTCTTATCACCGTTCGATTGCGCGACTTTCGCATGCTCGCTACTTAAGCGATCGTACTCTTTCGCGAGTGAGTCGGCCTGCGATTTCATCGCATCCTTATCCTTCTTTTCTTTAGTTAATTCGTTTTCGAGCTCAAGATTCTTAGCTTGTAACTCTTTGATCTGATTCTTCAGTTCTGAGACAGCTTTGTCATGTGCTTCATTAGAGTCGTTCTGCGCGCTTTCCCCAATCGTCCTCTGAGACAATAAACTTCGGGCCGTGGTCGTGGCAGACTGCGCTTGTCGCATAGCTGCTTCGTTTTGTGCAAGCAAGTTAGCCTGGATAGATATCAAAAGGACGAGACGACGTATCACCAGGCTGAGAAACAACGCGAAACCGGATATGTAGAAATTCCTCTGTGCACGGAACAGTCGCATGTTTTCTGCAAAATACCAAGACAAATATTAGCAGATATAACAATAACATGAAATTCATTCAGCTATACATATAGAAAATATAGAAAAGGTACTTTTCAACATCAAACAACTCATATTTTGAAACTATATGGGAATATAGTAACAGCTGAAAAGGTGACAGCTAGAAAAGGTAATATTCTTTAACACTAAACAACTCACCTTGCATCTCAAGATTCATATTGTGATGATGCTCAGTGTGATCCAAACTTGTGGAATATTTTCGCATTTCTCTTATGGCATCTAACAAGAAGAGGACCAATACACCGAGTAAGACCACAAAATAAATGGAAGCTCGATTGCTTATGCTCTGTAGAAATCGAGACTTGAAAAGCCTTTGCCATCGTGTTGGAGAAGCCACTGGTAATACTAGCATGAGCACTATTGTGACTTCCAAATAGAGGAAACCAGCAATCAATTTCCACTGTAGGCTCATCTTGGTATCTTCTTACTTCACCTTTGTATAAGAGTACCTAAAACTAATGAAACAAAAGAGTGAACATTAGATCTTAAAACTTTGCAAACTGAATATTCATAGAATTTTCCTAGTTATACTTTTGTAATTTTCTAATTTTATTAAGTTTTCGCGAATTTGGCACAGTGCTTCCTAGTTATGTGTAGGCAAAATAGCATAAAGTCTGTATAATGCTAGGTATTAGAGACAGAATTAAAAGGTATAAAATTGCTGAAAATTTTTTTAAATTTTTCAATATTTTTTGTGGAATTTAGCTAATCAAGATAAACAAAATCAAGATTGAAATGTGTTGATGTGTTCTAATTTATAATCTTTGAATTCTTCATCTGTAATCCATAATTCTCAACCTTTCCGATATATGGTCTGATGCGAGTTTAATGGAAATGACAGTCACATGGAGAAAAAACAACACGAGAATGCCGTCTTCTAACACTGCAGTATGTTTTTTTCCTTTACGAGCGTATGAAAGTCCACGACAAGAGATGCGAGAATGACAAGCGATTTCTAATGAAACCGATTACAACACACTGTCATCTCGCACGAAATGCACACGCGAACATAACGCAGTCACGATGATTCAGCCGCTCAACCTATCAGTTATCGAGATATTCATAGATATCGCAAGAATACGTATTTACGAGTATCTGCTGTCAAACGGTCAAATTCCAGAGAGTTGATGCGATATGACACGTATTGCATAAAAAGTGAATCCTAATTGTAGCGTACGGTATTCGATGAAGAATGAACCGTTATCGACTTCGCTCAAGCCGGTAGATATTTTTTTTTAACAGCATACAGTCGATGGTAGCCTCGTATAGCTGTCGATGTTGATGGGCGCCGATTGGGGAAGAAATTTACCGAACGTATTCTTAGTGACAATTTATGCACTTTCGTCGTTGTCGTCGTCGTCGTCGTCAGCGTCGGCGTTGAGTTTGCGAACGATTCGCGGCGGTTTTGCTCGGTGTCGAGCGCTATTAATAGTACTTCCAACTCTACGTGCTCCTTCGCAACGACACGATGCGAAGTGGGAACGCTGCCGACGACTTATGTGTCTCTCACGGCCCAACCGATGCTCGAATAAGTTCAAAGTGCGACTAGGCGAGCGCAGTACCGTCGACAATTTTATAAATAAACTGCACACGGTGACATCATCTCACGTAACTATTCGTGAGACTTTCTTGGTCTCTTCTTTTTCTTTGGGTATGTTCGGCTTGGCTGCCTCTTACCTTTAAATTCAGACGGACGCATTTCAAGCTGAACAAACTCAAATGGTGGCAAGGAGTTTCAGCATATGCTCACCCGGGATCGTTAGGATGCGCTGCTGTCGCGGAATGTACAGTCGGGGACTGAAACCCATTCTAAGGCTGCGTTCAGATTCCTTACCCGGGTGCACTCTAATACAAGAAGTGCTATAGTATATGGGACATATACTATAGTGTTTTTAGTAACAGAGTGCACCCGGGTAGGGAATCTGAACATACCCTAAAATGGCAGTAAAGCGGGGTCTACAATTGCTTGCGGCTTATGATTAAGGGCGAGCTTTTTAATTCATCGATGGATCTATCGATGAATTAAAAAACTCGCCCTAACTCTACAGCGTCGCGCTACTTTTCGAATACGAGACGACGCATGGGATTTTGAGAGAACCCAATATAAAAAATTATTTTATATCTTTTATGTCGAGAACTTAAATATTTTCTTTGTTTAATTAGGTTTTTAGGTTTATATAAAATAAGAAAAGACTATTTTGGATATAATATTCTCTTAAAGACCCATGCGATGACTGTAGGGTTAATAGCTTATTGTAGGAGATCCATAATATAGAAAAGCGCGCAACGACAACATAACGATACTTAAATTTTTTCGTCAGGCTGACAAGCTCAGAAAAGTGCAGATTATTAAAAAATAAAAGGAAGTTCGTATTATTTAATTTTATTATACGCTATATTTACCTGTTTATTCATTTTAGTACATTTATAGTCACGCGTAATACATATATATGTTACTAGAACAATACATGCGCGCGCTACGCGCGCGCCATCCCTTATAGAAATATCATACTAAGAATCATTGATAATTACTTATTATCCAGTATTTTTAATACTGAAAATAAGTAATTATCAATGATTCTTAGTATGATATTTCTATAAGGGATAAAAGCTGATAAAAAACTATAAAAAATGTAGAATAAAAATAAAATTAAAATTAAATTAAATTAAAATATACTTTAATTAATTAATAATTATAGGGAGAGACAGGGAGAGACAGAGAAAGACAGGGAGAAACGGGGAGAAACGGGAAGAGACGAGGAGAGACGGAGAGAGACAAGGAGAGACAGGGAGAGACGGGGAGAGATAGGGAAAGAGAGAGACAGACAGGGAGAGACAGGAGAGGCAGGGAGAGACAGGAAAAGACAAGAAGAGACAGGAGAGACAGGGAGAGACATATCTCTTCTATATTTTTTTTTCGTGACTTAACAAACGCAACCCTTATAGAAATATCATACTAAGAATCATTGATAATTACTTATTATCCAGTATTTTTAATACTGAAAATAAGTAATTATCAATGATTCTTAGTATGATATTTCTATAAGGGAATGACAGCATTTGCCTGGTAATTTGACAAGCGCAAACGACATAAAGCAAGCCTACATGAAGTGAGCTAAGCGAGAGAACCAATCAGCATCGCGGAAAAGCGACAACAATTAAATCTCTTACATACCTTTTTTAGAGGATAATACTAGCACACAAGCGCGCGCGTAGCGCGCGCCTTCCATTTCCTTTCTTAGTACTTTATTGCGCTTTAATTACATCGCGAAAAACATAAACCTCACTCACACACGAACCTATAATCTGCACTGTCTCTCCCAGTCTCTCTCTCTCTGTCTCTCCCTGTCTTTTCTTGCCTCACCTGTCTCTCCCTGTCTCTCCCGATCTCTCCCTGTCTCTTCCTGTTTCTCCCTCCCTCTCTCTGTTTCTCCCTGCCTTTCCCTGTCTTTCCCTGTCTCTCCCCATCTCTCCCCGTCTCACTCCGTCTATCCCCGTCTCTCCCTGCCTCTCCTTCTGTCCTGTCTCTTCCTGTCTCTCCCTGTCTCTCTCTGTCTCTTCCTGCCTCTCCCTGTAATCTGCATTGTCTCTTCCTGTCTCTCCCTCTCTCCCTGTCTCTTCCTGTAATCTGTATTGTCTCTCCCTGTCTCTCCCTGCCTCTCCTGTCTCTCCCGGCCTCTCCCTGTCTCTTCTTGTTTCTCCCTGTCTCTCCCTGTCTCTTCCTGTCTCTTCCTGTTTCTTTCTGTCTTTCTTTGTCTTTCCCGGCTTCTCCTTGTTTCTCCCTGTCTCTTTCTGTCTCTCTCTGTCTCTCCTTATCTCTCTCTATCTTTCCCCGTCTCTGCCTGTCACTCCCTGTCTTTCCCTGTCTTTCCTTGCCTCTTCCCATTTCTCCCCAGCCAATCGGTATCGCGAAAAAGAGGCAACAACCCTTATAGAAATATCATACTAAGAATCATTGATAATTACTTATTTTCAGTATTAAAAATACTGGATAATAAGTAATTATCAATGATTCTTAGTATGATATTTCTATAAGGGAATGCCAGCGATAATATCGATAACCAAGCAATTTCGGAACGGACATCTCTTTTTTATACTAAAAAAAAACTTTTTTAGGATTGGATAATAAAAACTTAAATAAAATCGAATTACACTGAATAAATTCTGAATTAAAGCAAATATTTATATATCTATTCCCTAACAGCACAGATGTTCACCTATACAGCATAAATGTTCAATAGATATTCTAAGAACGTTCTAAGAATATTTGAATATTCTTAGAACGTTCTTAGAATATCTAGTAAACATTTGTGCTATATGGGCAGGAGATATCCAAAGTACATCCTGGGGAAGTCCTGAGGACATTTTTCATCCTCAGGACGTCCTTAGGACGTCCTCAGGAGATCGTGTGTTGTCTGAATTTGTATATTCGATGTTAGGTCATACATGTAGGTAAACATGCACATATATAAAAAATTAGTTAATTTTTGTCATTTTGAGAAAAATATCTTCATCTGGTATTTCCACGAGTTTCGTAGAGTAATATTTGAATGACGTTACTGTCTTTTCGCAAACATCAAATTTGTAATTATGCAGAATACCAATCAGTGCAATTTTAACTTGGAGCATGCCTAACCGCTCACCTGTAACATATTGTATTTGATATGTTCAGAAAAAGATGTAACAAATATAAAACGTATTAACTATACAATATCTTTTTTTCTTATTTGTACTTTGTTTGAGCTTTATTTTTATATTTTAAACATGATTAGTTCTCATGACTAATGACTTTTTTCAAATATGATCAAATCTTTGTTATATTGTGATAGAAATGCATAGATATTTTATATCATATGCACATATACAACTTGTTTATGTTATATTATCTATTATAATACTAACAATATGTTATATTATCTAGCATAATACTACTTATGCATAACTACTTATGCATAATACTTATGCATAACTACTTATGCATAATACTTATGCATAACTACTTATGCATAATACTTATGCATAATACTTATGCATTACTACTTATGCATAATATTTTACATTCTCAAATAAAATTCACTTACCGATACAACTTCTTGGCCCGTGTCCAAATGAAAAGAAATACTTTGAGTTTTGTTCAGTTTGATCCATGAATCTCTTTGGATTATAGATTTCTGGCTGAGGGTATATTTTTGGATCGTAACTGAATGCATATAATGGTATGACAATCTTCTGATTTTTTGGCACAGTTATATTAGTGTTTTTGAAAGTATAACTTGATAATGCCTCTCGTTGTATTGAATTTGCTATTGGATATTTCCGCAATGTCTCTAAAAACAAAATGATTATCACAAAGTAGTATCGATTAAAGTAAATTAATTTACTTACTAGCAAATAAATATGCTTGAATGCTGTTGCTTATCAAGTCGTTTAATTCCTGTAATTCGTTCAGTATTAATAAAAATAAAAAGAGAAAACACTGTTATTGCATTGTCATATTAAGCGATTGTAATAATTGTCATTTTATGAAAATAGATAAGCAATATAAAAAGTATATATCGTGTGAGATTCAGCATTTTAATGTATTTACCTTTAATAACTGCAATTAAATAAGGCATTGTATTTATACTCTCAAAATGCATTTCATTATTGTTTCTTGCATACATATCCCGTATCTCTTCTCGTAATTTATCTTGAACATTTTGATTTAAAGCCAGTTCGTACAATGTAAAAGAAATCGTCATTCCAGATGACTCATAGCCGGCGTAGAATAAAGCATATACTTGCGCAGCGATAAACTCATCAGTTATATTTGTTGTGCCTAAATAGATACATAAAAACTTTCTCAAGTTTATTATGGCATAAATTTGCTTTCTCTCTCTCTCTCTCTCTCCCTCTATATATATATATATATATATATATATATATATATATATATATATATAT